TATGGTATCCAGAGAAAGAGACCCCTGGTTGGGCCACCCTACCCCGAAAGCCGGCCACCCGGTGGAGCAGAGGGCCTCAAACTTTCCCTTCTTGATGCTAGGGCCCAGTTTCAAGGCCCTCTTCTTTACTTCTGAAAAGTGAGAAAGAATTGTGCCTTTGGGGGTGGCCTGAGTTTGGCCCATAGTACCTGGGGAACTGAAAGTAAAAGGAGAGAGAGAGAGAGAGAGAGAGAGAGAGAGAGAGAGAGAGAGGATAAAGTCACTGAACCCCTTAGCTTACTTTCCTTGAATGGAGAGGGGACTCCACTTTGGATGAATGGGCCCTGAGACTTCCCATCTTTCCCTCTTAAGGCCCCTGCCCACCTGTTGCAGCCTCTTTTGGTGTCTGTTGCCATGGAAATCACACGTATTTATTAAGCATCTTCTAGGTGTCTTACTGTACGCTAGAATAAATGAGAAGAGGTTCTGGCTTCCCTGCCTGCAGTCTGTGCTCAGATCCCTGTTCTACATCCTCCTTGCAAGTCCGTTCACTTAGATGAACCTTAAACTGGTCCTCTACGGAAAGGGACAGCCTGCCTCTAAGGTATTGTGGTACCAAGTGAGAATGAAGCATCTTACAACAAAGTAGGTGCCTACCTGGGTAACCTCCTCTCCTCTTTGCAGTTCAGCCTTTCCTGCTATGTCTTTCCCTCTTCCTTGTTGGCCATATTTCTGTCTCTGACTCTTGTCACTCTGCTGTCCCCCATCCCATCCTTCCTGCCAGTCCCACTGAGGCACACAGCACTCCGCTTGGCTGTATTGGGAAGACTTTCTGTTTTTACCCCCTTTGTGTTGCCTGGAACTTGAAGGTGATGTCTGGAATTCTGCAGCCATTTTTCTGAGTCATCAGAACAGGGTCACTTTCTTAGACTGTCTTGTGAGCCTTTCGTCCTGTGCAGGAAGCTGAGGGGTGAGTCAGAGCTGGCTAACCTTTCAGCTCCTTAGCCCTATGGTTCCAAAGCCACATGGAGACCTTAAGAGATTGCTGGTCCCAAACCTTTAGGCTGATACAGACCATCCAGGAAACTTAGCCAGATTTGGAAATGGCTCAGAAGAGACTCCCAGGGCCAGCAAGTAGCCTGGAACTACACAACACACAGACCACAACAGGGAGCCTGCTGAATTGCACAAGAGGGCGGTGGACACAGAGACGGAGGAGGTATTGTGTGTCACGCTATGACACTGGAAAGCAGACACGACGACCTCGAAGGCTGGGCTTCTGTGACCCTGCAGTGGGTGGAGAAGCCAGGGGCCAGGGAAGGGCAGTAGTACTGGGTCCTTCCCTTGCCTACCTGATGAACTTGTCAAAGACAGCGGCACAATCTCTGGGTTCTTGCAGCACCACCTCGCTCTGGTTGCTCAGCAGCTCCCGGAACAGCTCACTGTGCAGCCCCAGCAGCAAACGGTGGGTGTGGAAGGCTCGGACCTCATCTGTGCCCACAGCCTGCACTCGCAGAATGACATCGCTGGCGTTGCCCTGCCTCAACAGGTCCTGCAGGCGCTGGAGCAGCATCTGGGAGTGGTTGATGGAGGTACCCGCTGCCTCCCCACCCATGTCGGCTCTCTGAGCTGCAGCAGGAAGGGACACAGTACATACGTCTGAGAAGGAATCCAGCCTAGGGCCTCCATCTAAGGGTACAGAGGGACCAGATGGAGACATGTGTGCCTGGGTGTGGGAAGAGGGCAGGAGACCTAGGGAGGAGGCTGTGACACCTATTTGTGGCCATGAGGTACCTAAGAATCCAGGAGCCCATATGGGTGGGCAGGTTTGGCCCATGTAGAACCGGGAGTATGTCCTTGAACCTGAGGTGGGTTCCGGTCAGGGAGTGGTCTCAGCACTATCTCCCCAGCTATCACTTTAAAGGACCTGAATCCTAATGGCGTCCCCATGCGGCCTCTGCCTGGGCCCAGCTGCCTGGAACAGTGGATGATGGAGGATCTTTCTGTCATCAAGACTTTTGCTTGCTGCCCAGAGCTGTAGTCTCCATGAACTGGTGTCGTCCATGATGCTAGACCCCCAGAGGTGGGTGGAGAAAACTCTGGGTCCCTGACCCTCTAACTTCAATGACTCTCCAGTAAACCCCTCAGAAGAGTTGTCAGAAGTGGCACATTCACTAACAAATGGGTACTGAGCACCTGTTACATGACTGGCACTGTCCTAAGAGCCTGGTGTGTGACAGTGGATGAAATAAGGTGAGTCCTCATACACAGGAACGCTCAAATCAACAAAGCAGACAAGTGATAAACACACAAAGACAGAGACAAAAGGGTTGCTAAGAATTCAAGGCCAGCCTGGGCTACATAGCAAGACCCTGTCAACAAAATAAATAAATAGCCAGGCATGATGGTATACAACTTTAACCCCAACAC